ATTCAAAAAGGATGTGGAGAAGCTTGAGAGAGTGCAGAGAAGAGCCACGCGCATGATCAGAGGTCAGGGAAGCAGACCCTACGATGACAGGCTGAGAGCCCTGGGGCTCTTTAGCCTGGAAAAGCGCAGGCTCAGGAGCGATCTGATGGCCACCTACAAGTTTATCAGGGGTGACCATCAGCAAAGTGCTTAAATGCGAGTGTGTACTTAGCAGGCTTTGCTAATTTATGACTTTAGAAAAGAGCCCGGGTTAGAGCCTGTCAGAATATTTAATGAAATACAGCTTTGCTGGACCAGCAAAAAAAGGCTATGCAAGTGAAGTTGTGACTGCAGCATAGACAGAGACAAGGACAGTTTTATATCTAGATCACTGAAGTACCAATAGTAGAGAAATGGTATCTTTGACCTTCAGCATGGACTAGCAAGAGGAGTAAATTTTCTCAATATATTTGAATGTATTTGTCTTCAGCATACTGAAGACACATTGCTGCTTACTCCCTTTTGACCGGGATTCTTTAAGAATCCATAATAATGATGGTGGTAAAACTAACCCTGTCCTGACAGGCAAAAATCAATAGGAAGTTAACTATAAAGTGCGGTTTTTAAATAAAGTTTTTTCTTACTTTTGTTGCTCCTAAGTTTGAAAGCAACTACACATAATAACTCAAGACTGAAGAAAAAAAACACACAATAATTTAACATTGCCCTAAACAAGGAGCTTTAAACTTTCTCTGCATCCTTCAGCAGCTGTTGCTGTCTGACAGTCATCCATACCAGTAGCTCAGGTGACCTTCACATGGTGACAGCCCTTGAATGAAACTTCCAAGTGATATTTGAGACACCCGGCTCCCGTCCTTTAGCCCTAAATCATGCTTTGAGCACAGATCTTAATTCCTCACACTCCACTGAGATGCTGCAATGATTCTTTTGCTGACCTTTACAGTGGGGATTTGTCTAGTTCAGCATCCTGGATGGACACTGATAATCTATAACCAATGATTTATTTATGCCAGTGATGAATTTTATGGGGAGATTATAACATTTTGCAGACCGATTTTCTAGTTTATACCTTGGACCCACATTCATAATTACTGCAGGACCCCACTGCCCACACCCTTCCAGGTCGAAACCATCCCATCCACCACGACTCTCTGGGTGCGACCCTCTAGCCAATTCGCCACCCACTGGACTGTGTAGTCATCCAAGTCACAGCCTCTTAACTTGTGCACCAATATGGGGTGGGATACCGTATCGAAGGCCTTCCTGCAGTCTAAGTATACGACATCCACCCCTCCTCCTGTGTCCAGCCGTTTCGTAACCTGATCATACCATATCGAAATTCTGAAACCTCTGCATCTCACCCCTTCCTGCTGGACCTGTTGCACTTGGTATGTGTAAATTATTTGGGCACATCTCTTGTGGTAACTAGCATGAGAGACCACAATACCCTATGGGAACATGAAGCAGTTGATCGACGGCTCCCAAAAGACATGACAGAGGGCTTTGAGAATCAAAAAATTCATTTTTAGAGTTCAGTCTCCCACCCCCTCCCAAAATGACAAACTTTGTTGCCCCGCCAAATGACAAACCTTATCACAGAAAGGAAACTATTTTCCAGCCAGTTCTGTAAATCATCACACTACCCTCATTTTGCCTCCTCAAACAAGCAACCAGTTTTAACTGCTGTGCGTTGATCTATTGCACATCTAGTCCATTATCTCTTAGCTGCTCATTTATGGATGAAGGTATTTTAAGGCCCCTCTTCCTCCTGCCCAGCCCAACCCCCAACCCTCAAAAAACTAACAGACACGTAATTAACTTTGCTCTTGGTCCAACTGCAAGACTGAGTGTGAGGTTTACAAGGTAAATTCTTTAAAAACATAGGATTTTTATGGAAACTTGGACACAGCCTTTGCTAATGTGAATGGCACTGCTACTCTTTTCAGCAAGAAGTAGCACTGATCTAGTAAGGCTGTGTGAAGGTTTGGGTGCTGATTCAATTCGGAGGAGATTCGGCCCAATTCCTGGAAGTCCTGGAATCCAAAAGATTTCCTTAGGGACTCAGATAGCTACCACAAGACTAGTGCTGTTTTAAGCAGCACCTTAAATGCATTGCTAAAAGGAGGTGGGATGACCCCTGTGCTAACCATTCATTACATGTTGAAGTGCTGAGCTGCAGCTGGGGGACGCAAAGAAAAGGAAAATGGGATCTGCGTGAAGATTGCCCGCAGTGGGTTTTGCAGCAGGGTCTCTGTGCCTCCATTTAGGTTTTTCATTGTCCTTCTTAAGGGTCCAGTTCTACAAAGAGATTTGTCCAGGAAAGCAAAGATTTGAAAATCAACTTCATGGCTTGAAAGCTGCGTGTTTTTTGGAAAGATGCTTGTTTTTTGGAAAAATAACAGTCATTCAACAAAACACACTAAGAGTTTTACACTTTCTGCTGTGAACATAAAGCTTTCCCCAATAAAGCGGTCAATATACTCATAGCCGAATAGTTTGCCTTCTATTGTATCTTAAAATTTTCAAAGCAGCAGATTCTCCACTTCAGAAAAAACAACACTTCACAGTCACTCGTGCACACGTTTATCTTGAATTCAGTCGTGCAGGAACTGAAAGTGTTTGCAAAATTGGACCCAAGGCTCACTAGTGAACTCAGAGGGGAAAAAAATTATTATCCTGGTGTTGGATCTCTCCCTCAAGGCTTGGTGAACCCCAGGAGACCCACATTGCTATGGCAGAGAAGAGGAAGTGTGTGCATCCTATACTAGATCACCAGCCCCAGATCCTGATTACATTCAGCAGACTAAATATTGAGCATATGAATATATATATATATTTTAAATCAAGGTATTCTTTTATTGTTGCAGTCTCTAAGAAACCCAGAGACCCAAGTCTGTCAAGTTAAGGAATTTAAGTCGCTATCCACAGGGCTTGCAGCCTGATCTCATACTATCATCCCTGTGCTCACCATTCATTACATGTTGAAGTGCTGAGCTGCAGCTGGGGGACGCAAAGAACAGGAAAATGAGATCTGCGTGTGTGTGCCCACAGTGGGTTTTGCAGCAGGGTCTCTGTGCCTCCATTTAGGTCTTTCATTGTCCTTCTTAAGGGTCCAGTTCTACAAAGAGATTTGTACAGGAAAGCAAGGATTTGAAAATCAACTTCATGGCTTGAAAGATGCTTGTTTTTTGGAAAAATAACAGTCATTCAACAAAACACACTAAGAGTTTTACACTTTCTGCTGTGAACATAAAGCTTTCCCCAATAAAGCGGTCAATATACTCATAGCCGAATAGTTTGCCTTCTATTGTATCTTAAAATTTTCAAAGCAGCAGATTCTCCACTTCAGAAAAAACAACACTTCACAGTCACTCGTGCACACGTTTATCTTGAATTCAGTCGTGCAGGAACTGAAAGTGTTTGCAAAATTGGACCCAAGTCTCACTAGTGAACTCAGAGGGGAAAAAAAATTATTATCCTGGTGTTGGATCTCTCCCTCAAGGCTTGGTGAACCCCAGGAGACCCACATTGCTATGGCAGAGAAGAGGAAGTGTGTGCATCCTATACTAGATCACCAGCCCCAGATCCTGATTACATTCAGCAGACTAAATATTGAACATATGAATATATATATATTTTAAGTCAAAGTATTATTTTATTGTTGCAGTCTCTAAGAAACCCAGAGACCCAAGTCTGTCAAGTTAAGGAATTTAAGTCGCTATCCACAGGGCTTGCAGCCTGATCTCATGCTATCAGGTACTGAAGCTAAGATTGCAATCTACCCACCTGGTAATATTAAATTGGATAAACTTCCACTGCAGGCAGCTTAATATACAGCTTGAAGGTGACAACAGCTAGTCACAACACATACCAAAAAAACACCTGTAGGGAGAATGTGTTTAAAAGATGAAAATCTCCTTCCCAGCCTTTCCCCTCCCATCTGAGACTGTACAGGCAAATCTGAAGTCCACCACATTTGACTTGGTTATTTTAAATAACATCTTTGGTTGGCTCCCTTTTCCAATCTGACCTGGAAAATAGCAAGCAAGGTTTGACAGCCTGTCTGTACCAGTATAAGAGTACCAAGTGAAATGGTTTCACGGGGGACTCCAGATTGCTATATACCCTGGCTGGCTCTTCCATGAAATGTCCAGGAGAATCACAGTTACCAAATCTCCCAGGGGGCCTTGACAAAACAGCACTGGTTAGGGAATAAAGCTACCACAAAGTGATGTCAAGGCATCCAATCTCTCTGTTGAGGTTAATATGGCCTGAAGAAGGTTACTTTCAACTTACTTGCAAAAAGCAATTTCCCATTTTCTTGCCCCTTTGTTTTCCAACAGGTTTTACTGTTGCAAAAGCATCTCTACATAACACACATCATCAATGATTAATGCATGGTAACCAGGTTTAATGCACAGCAGAAATGATGGATATAGAGTGGTAGCTTGCTTAATATAGTGCCAATACGTCATGTTAAAGGTGGACTGTTGTGTCACATCAAAACAGAGAAAAGAAAGCATTTCTACAGATGTTAATTTACTGGGCTGGTGTTTCTTGGCTTCCCTCATCGTCCATGGGAGATATTTAGAAATAAATTGATCAGGGTTGTGACTGTCCCATTGCCCTACCCCATTTCCAGATAATGCAACCACCGAGGGAATTACAGGCTAATTCCTCTTGATTCATTTGTGATTGTGTCAGCAGCCTGGAGGTCCAGAATGAGCGGAGGAAGAGCCATAGGAAGAATACTTGAGTTGAATTTTATTCTGCTTCAAGAGGCTTTGCAAATAATAAGCAAGAAGGGGAGAGGCAAAGCATCTACCCAGGGAGGCTGCTTCCTGCTTTCCCAAAACTTGAAACCTGCGTGGATTTACCTGTGCACAAAGTGGGGGTAAAATGCTCCCCTTCTGATCAGGTACTATTTACCTCTTAGATGAGATGCAAGGGGCTGTGTCACCCATCACTGACCATGGCATAAATGCCACATGGGCCTGGGACCACAGTGGTTTGATACTGGGGTGTTTCATAAGCATGCCTTTTCAGTGGTGCGCATGGACACAGAAGGTGGCAGATGGCCAGGAATCAAACAGCCTCATTGTGCAATAAAGCAGGGTAAAAATATTGACAGAGGGCACTAAGGAAGAGCCAAGCATGACTATCAGTCCATCACCGAAGGCAGGGTAGCTCTTCTCTAGAAACTTTTGGCACAGTTACCTCCCACGGAGATACAGCCAGGCTCAGGGCAATTCTTTAACAGTGTAGGGCAACACCACCAAAGCTCGGGCATGAAAGGAAGACCCTATGAAATAAAAGTGGGGGGAGGATTCAAGGGGAAAGTGAAGTGCCAGACCCCTAAATTAATATTCTTCCCCTTCTTAGAAGTGCCCAGCACTTTTAGGAACTGATCCTTCAAGGTGCCCCTCTTTCTCACTAAACAGCGCAGGACAGATCCTGCATCCCCGACTCCCATTGGTCCTAGCATGTACTATAAGTAGGCTAACACTTTGCGGGAGTCACTCATCCAAGTGTAAAATCAGTCCCAGCTAGCTAAAAAATCCCATCCAAGGATTTGCTGACATCTAAGATGGAACATGCCTGCCTTCCACAAAATAACTACCAGGCCAGTGGTGAGGGCATTTATCTATGTTGTAAGAGAATTCAACTCAAGTCTCTAGCCTAAATCAGGTGCAGAAGAGCTTGAACCCTGATCTGTTAGCTCTTGGGCTATTCTCCAAACCACCTGACTGTTGTGTCAGGAACATGTTAGTCTTACTCTCTTGTAACATGGACTCACGTAAACATTTTCTGCCACAAATGGTGCGTGTGTTCCTGCAAAAAATTCTGTTTTAATGAACTGGAATTTATTCCTGAAAGCAATCCTTCCCAAATCCCTAACTAGCTCTAATGATCACCCAGCTGAAGTCAGAAATGATTAGTTTGTGGCTTCTTTCAGCCTTCAACTGAGCATGCCTACATCTATTCTTGTTGTTGATGTTTTTTAATCACATCCATATCGGTGATGGGACTAGGGCAAATCTGTGGACAGCAGGAAAACAAATGTAAAGTAAATGTGCACTTCTATAGAAATCTTTTAAAGCCATCATCAAAACGATATGCTGTATTACTTATATCCAAAGTTCCAAATCCATATTTCGTGCAACTTCCAATTACTCTTCTAACACAGTATTTATTAATTTAAAAGCAGGGATATGGTTTTATCATCAATTTTGACTAAAATAGATGGCGAGCAGAGTTGTCATTCCCAATAACAGATTAACTCTTTGCAGGCTTCTCATTCTTTTGAGGCTGTTTAGAGATTTCCTATTAGGCCTGTGCGAATAGGAAACTATTAAATTCGGATTCAGCCAGTTTGGATGCCACAGTTTCAATTCAGATATCTGATTTGTTTTTCCAATTCAATTTGGCCACAACACTTCGGAAGATCCAGACACGATTTGGAGATTCGGCCATAGAGTATAATGGGGAATCAATGAAATGACTATAATTTCATTGTCTTTTAGCCAATTTAGATGAAACCTGCCAAGATGGTAGACTATTCTGGGAGCATGAGGCATGCCAAGCTTCAAGGTGATAGGTGCAGGCATTTATGGGAAACTGCACCTCAGATTCCTGAAAGCAAAACTCATGTCCGTGTGTGTGTTAAGCCACAGTGGGGTGAAAACTGCAGGGATGGTAGCTCTTGCTTAGGCCACAAAGCCTGCCAAGTTTCAAGGAGATCGGTGCAGGGGAAGATAGGCTCTGGGGCCCTGCACCTTTGGCCACAAGCAGGCAAAACTCGTGACATGGGTGCAGTTTGTCTCTCAGTCCTGATTCTCAACAGGAATTTACAAACCACTTTTCACAGACAGACCTATGAACTTCACTTCATCAACCTCCTAGATATAGAAATGCATGGACTGGATTTATGACACACTACAACCTGCCTGACATCCGACTCCCCAGGTACCTTTTACCTGCTACATACCCCTTCGCCTACCCCAGCCTCTCTCTCAACCCTGACACCTCCATTTCCATTCTCACCGACTGGCTTTCTTGCCTGCATTGCATGCCAGCCTCTGGCTTCTTTGCTATTCCTTCTGTCCAGGAAGAGCACACACACACACACGCGCGCACACACACACACACACACACACACCAACTAGATGCTTTCTCAGTCTGATGAAGGGTTTTTAAACCCGAAAGCTTGCAAAGAACAATTTCTCCAACTCTTCAGTTGGTCTAATAAAAGATATCAGATTGACCCTAAGAACCTTCTCTGTGCAACGTCCTTACACTGACACGGCTACAACCAGACCCCTTCACACACACACAAGTGACACAAGTTTTGCTTTCAGCAGTTTGAGGTGCAGATTCACAGAAACCCCTGCACCACTGCCTGAAACCTGGCAGGCCTCATGGCCACACAAGCGGCGATGCATGTGGCAGGACAGGGCGGCCATGTAATGACCCGCTCTCAGAGCTGAAGGTGGCTGTTTAGTTTCTCACGCATGAGCAGGGGAAAAACATCTCCCTGCTGAGCTCCTGTGCCCAGAAGAACTTGGAGGCATAAGGTTTGGGGCTATATGGGGAGGAGGAGGCCCCACATCATCCTCGCACCACCTAAAACTGCACCCTGCGAGGGTAGAGAGGTCTGGGTGGGACCACCGGTGGTGTGGCAGCCCTAGGAAATGCCAGGACCATGAACATCCCTGGTGAAAGGCAGGTAGGAGAAGGAGGCACCTGATATCCTCCAGCCACCGCACAGTCCTGGCTGTGGAAAGCCCAGACCTGTAAGAGCTCAAAGAAGCCTGAGGCTTACTGGTTGCAGTGGAGTTGTGAGGGTGAGGACAGGGGGCTACCAGCCCTGCAGTTTTCACCCTGCTGCGCCTGAACACACACACACAACATCACACATGTCACCAGTTTTTCTTGTCAGCATCTTGAGGTGCAGTTTCCCAGAAACCCCTACACCTATCTCCTAGAAACCTGGAAGGCCTCATGCCCTCAGAAAGGGCTACTATCCCTGCTGTTTTCATCCAAATCTGACAAAAAATGACCAAGTTACAGGTATTTCAGTGATTCCCCGTTATAATCTATGACCAAATCTGTGAATCTGCACTGAATCGTCCAAAACTGATTTGGCCGAATCGATTTGGAACAGTGATCTGAATCTCTGAATCAAATCACTGTTCTCTGAATTGGCCGAATCCAAATCGAATCCTTCCCTGTTTGCACAGGCCTACTCCCCAGTTGTATTTTTCTTTTGGCCTCTGTTTATACCATTAGCTGTTCGCAAGTGTTTACAGGGAACATTATTCGTATCACAGCTTGTGTTAACTTTGCAATGGGGGGGTATTTTTTTCTCCATCATTTCCACAGAGAGGAAATTTGTGATCTAAAAGTAAAGTAGCAGGGTCCTTGGTCGATTCTTCCGCCCTTTATTTACATGCAGGAATACTTCGAACTGCAAATGTTCTTACTCATTGTAATGCGATTCCTCGTTGAGTCAGGAGCTACCAAGCATTGAAGTGGAAGAATAGCAACAGTCTGTTAGGCCCAGGGAAAATTGGTCCAACCAAAATTTTAAAGGTGAGAAACTGCTGAAAGGGATTTGAGTGTTACATTGAATCATACTTATGAATTCAGGATATATTTTGATCATGAGCATCCAGAGCTCAAGGAGAAATCCTCCCTCCTGCTCCCATGTGCGTCTATACATCTAAATAGATAAGCAAGAAATGACCCAACCCTTCACCCTTAATTCCCTGTGAATAAAAAGCAGTGATTCACAGCCTCACAGGATTTAGAAGCATCCTTAACTACTACTGAGCTGATGAAAACAAAGAAAAACATTTAGAAAAGTCAAAATGCCCAAGCTATTTTTTGTCAAAAAATTTAAGGTTTTTTTTAAAAACTTTAAAATATGACAAATTTCATCCAACTCCAACTTGAGCAGCACACATTTCTTTATCAAAACTAACCCAACAGTGCACATGATACCACCTGGAACAGTTTTGAATGACATTTTATGTAACAGTAAGGTGCTCTAGTGACTCGGTTTGGATCCTGTAGACCTCCTGACACAAAAGTTCCTCTGCTAGAATCCAGAGACACAGGAATGCACAGCAGATGCCTTTGTAGCTTCCAACATATGATCCAATGCCTATTGCAAAGGCTCTAGCTAACTGGAATAGGCACTGGTTTGTTCCCCAAATGAATACTGACATCATCTTATTTTTCCACTGCTTTCCAAGTGAGGCTTAAAAAATGAAGCACTGGAAGTGCAGTTCCCCTTGTTTCCCCACGGTAAAAAAACAGGAGGGTTTCACCAGGGTAACCCTCTATAATTACGGCAACACTGGAAGTGTAGTTCCCCTTGTTTCCCCACGGTAAAAAAACAGGAGGGTTTCACCAGGGTAACCCTCTATAATTACTGCATGTAGCAGTGTTGAAATACATGAATTGTGTTGACAGATTGTCACTTAGTTCACTGGTTGATTTTGCATAATTACAATAGTTTCTCACTTGATTGTTTCTCTAATTTGCAGTCTCAATTATATAAATGAGATGGATTAACAGAGGTGCTTGCTTTGCATACCTTGTAGCAGAATATACAAATGGTGCTCTCTCCTTGGGCTGTTTAATCCTTTGGCCATGTTGTGTATTATCCTCTGCAGAGGCATTTCTCTGCCTGGATGAGAAAGAGAAAGCATTGATGAAATGAGAATACCCTTCCCTGAGTGCTTGCTAGCATTTTGCTTAGGCTCAATTTTACAGCTGGCAACTCTTAAAGAAAAGGCTGATTTTTATGTTGTTTTATAATGGTTAGAAAAGGATGCTGAAAGCAAGGACTTCTGTGTTTTCTACTCAGCTCTGTCACCAAAACCATGGGAAAGTATACTTAACTTTTCTGCACCTCAGTTAAATCGTGTGTGAAATAATTCACATTTATAATTATGTAGATGCTTTCACTGAAGGATAAACAAGTGGTTCAAACTTACAAAAAAATAATACTCATGACTAATAATGTACCCAAACAGGGTCCCCAACAGTGTTGCTAGTTGGCTCAAGGCCATCACTGCAAAATACTACATCAAACAAATATTAACACCTGTGTATAATTAAGGGGACACATTTTCGCAGCCTGAAAAGCAGGAGCCACAGGCTACTCAAAGCTTAATTCTCCATGGGCATGCACATAGTATGGGCATTCAAATCACTGACAAATGAGCGTGCAACACGACAACATCAAAACATGGAGCATGATGTACTCCATTTGATCTGAATTTAAAAAATAGACAAAGTACTTGTCGGAGAATCTGGACTCCAGAATCTACCGCTGGATTCCAGGTACATGCCAAGATTAGCCAGACTGGTTAATGCTCTAAAGCAATTAGGTGTCCTCAACCATTTTCATTCTACAAAAAAATCTCAGCACTAAGCACATATATATAATGGCTTTTGTCACCTACCCCATAAATGTCCAATCTCTATGCTTTATATGTAACAGAACATAGATTCTGCCCATTGTAAGAAGTAATGGAAGCATTTCGATTGATACAGTTTTGCAAAACCTCTTCTTCACAAGTGTGTGTGTCTAGACTTGGAGCTAGTTTCCTGCTTTGCCACCAAGCCCTATAGAAAGGGGATCTACAGCTATGCAGAAGGAACACAGTGGGGAACCATGCCCCAGACAGACACCACTACATACTTACCTCCCTAATGATGGAAAGCAGAAGCCTAACACAACTAAATACCTCTCTTGACTCACCTAAGGGATTAGATAGCAATCCGCTACTATCCCATGTTAACTTAATTAAACCTAGGAGCTTGGCAGAACTTCTGCTTCATGGAAATAAACAGTTGCAAAATTATTTTTTTTTCTTTCTTCCTAACTGGAAGAGAAAATTGAAATTCAACATTTTCCAGAAAAAAAATATTGGGGGGATCACAGACAGGAAAGAAAGCAACAATTATTTTGAGATCCCAAAACAGTCATTCTAAATTTTGCCTTATACTTGTTTTAGAAAAAGAAATGCCTTTTGTTTTCAAATACATTTTTCTTTTGGAAAACAAAAATATTACTTATTTAAAATGTTTTGAAAGGGACTTTCAATTTTTCTAAACAAAAAAATGTATCAAAAGCAAGATCCTGCAGCAGAAAATTTAAAACTGATATTAATGGGCATTTTTGACAGAAAAATTTTCTGTCAAAAAAGTTAAATGCTCGATTTAATTTGCAAGATACACATTCGATAGTAGTAATTGTTATGGAAGGACAACAGATTCTGTTAGTACTGGAGGACATTTTATTCTTCACAAGTAAGTCATCTTAAGCAGAAATAAGTTAGGTGCTTATTAGAGAAACACTTCAAAAGAAAAAAAAAAACCTTATGAACTTCTTTAAAAAAGTTTACTCTAAATGATGCAAAAACAAAAATAACTAAAAATCAGCAGTAGAAAACTGCCATATATAAAGCTTTGCTATATGCTTCAACATTTGCAAGTCTTATGGACTGATTTCCTTCTTAGAAGGGAGCCTGATTCTACTTTCACTTAAAAGGGCACAAATCAGGAAAAATTACACTGAAAATGAGCGAGTCATGTTGGCACCAATGAGTGGAAATCAAAAGTGAGGTGTTTTTCAAAGAAACCCAAAACTTTGAGGCTGAGAAAGCTCTTGCTTCACTCCAAACAGAAAATAGGAGAGGGGGAGAAACTGGTTAGAAAACAGAACAAAACTTAAGTGATGTGGTAGGTCTCTCAGGACTGAATCACTGCTTCACGGATGGACTCATCAGAAAAAAAGCCACACAGCCCTCTGTGTTCTGGGTTAGGTTTTATTTCATTAGGCTTACATTACCTGCCCGGGATACCTACCAAGGGGCAACATATCCCACGCATGAGTCTTTTGGATTTGTTCGCAGGGTCACAGGTGCCAGGACGAAAGGCTTTTATTAACAGCACCTGGAATAGCATAGCAACCGGCTGCTCATTAGCAATCAGGCACATCTTCAACCCAAGAGTGTTTTTTATTACTGTAATGTGCTGCTTTACATCTCAAGGCCTCCCTTTAACTGGACATCTGTGAAGATCCAAATCCAGAATTTTTTTCCCCCCCCTGTTTGGTTTTGGTTTTCAAGCTGGCTGGCACTGAAACCACCTCCTGGCTTTGATGTATATTTGTACACAAAGCATATTCAACCCCACCAAAAATGGTAGAGAAGAAACCTGGGCTTGATCCTGACCATGACCTTACATTGAATAAACTAATTAAATGGTAAGAAGTGACCTGTGCTACAGGGCTCATGCTTTTTACTAAGAGAAAGTTCCTTTTCTCTCTGCCAGACAGGTGTAGGTTTTGCATTGGGAGGCCTGAAAATACTGGATCATGGCAACGAACCAGGCCCTAGAGTGGCAGTGGCATAATTCAACTCCTTATTTTGAGCTACACTCAAATAGACCAGTTGAAACTCTGACCCTATGAGCTGAAAATGCATTTAGGATGTTTATCATTATTGCTTTTACTTGCAATACAAGAATACAATTGTCAGAAGTGCCCAAAGTTAGTTAGGAACTCAAACGCCACTTGAAGAAAACAGAACACAACAAACAAAAAAAGTCTCCACCTCCCCAAAAAACCAAACCTAACAATGAAGCATCAAAGTCACTTTAGCATTTCTAACCTTTTCATTTGCAGTTTCACATTAATAATTTTCCTGTTAACAAAATGCTTTTGGCATCCAAGCTGCACATTTCTGAAGAGAGCTCCTGACAAGAAGCTGCATTTTTCAAGCAGAATCTGCACCCTTAACCTTTGGGCCCACAATTACAGCTCATCTATTTATGTTCTAGGCATTCAAGGTTCTTTGGATGGATCTGGTATCTTTTATTAGACCAACTTAAATAGTTGGAAAAAAAAATCCCCCGTGTATTCA